GATGATCTGAGCCATGGGGCAAGTTTGTTTTCCTAAGAATTTTTTTTGAACATTTCGAGAGCACATGTTTGAACATTTAAAGTGCATATGAACATATATGTACGAAAGGTCGCCTCCGAGGGGATAAATCACCATGTCGAACATTGCATTTTTGTTCCTGCCTCTCGCGTTCTCTTCTCTTCCCGCTGTCCTACCTTTCGTGTCTCCCTCCTCTCAAGTATACATATAATAGGGGGGCAGGTGAGAGCCGTGGGAAAAAGACCGTGTTGCTGCCTTTTTTTCAATTTTTGCTGGGTTTTTTGATTTTCTTCATTTTGAACTTCTATTTCACTGGTTTGCCATCTTAACTACCGAGCTTTGATGTGCCATCAAATCGGTCGAAGGGATCAGGCGCTTTTTGTGCCTTTTTTGCAACTTTTCACCAGTTTTTTGATTTTTTTGATTTGGGACATTTTGCCCCCTGGTTTGCCATTTTATCTCTCGAGTTTGGATGTGCCATCAGTCCGTAAACCGGTATAGGATTAACAAACCAATATCAATCAAGCCCAGCTCGAGCCCCCAATATAAAACCAATTTAGAACCTAATTTTCATATTTGCACCACCCTAATAAACACCATTAAACATATTCCCTCCCGTATGAATCAAGCCCATTGTCAACCTTTTTTGCTATTTACTTTCTTTAAGTCAGCATTCAATATCTTCCTATAGTGAAACTGATCCATTGTGAAACTGCTCACCCTTTTACCATGCCATCTCTTTGAGAGATCGCATTCTGATCCACTCATCCATCATTATCATCCTTCTTTTGCTTCTATTCCTGCTTTTTCTTATCATCCTTCCCTTTCAAAATCGCCAAACAACTCGCTTGCAACATTCTTTCATATTCCCTTGTTGAAACCTCTAATAGTAGGGGCCCCTGCCCCTATTACTGTAATCAAGCCCACCCCTTTGGCCTCCATCTTGTCTTCCATCTCTTTCATCCTGCAATCCTTTTCCAAATGATCCCAATCAAAGAAAGCATCCAGCACCACATAGAGCCTCCATCTCCCATTTCTCATCAATCAACCATCATCCTTCACACAGAATCCCATCAGCCATCAACCATTATCCATCATGGAACTCCCATACAGTCCAGAAGCAGAAAACGAAAGGCAGTTTACAGTGGCGCTACGCAGCGCAGAAATCCTATTTTGGTCTAAGAAACCCAACATCCGACTGCACACTGACTCAGCAGCAGGCACAGCATTGTTACAAGACGAACGCCCAAGAAAAGCTCTACACTCGACAACGGGTGAAACCCCACGTTATCAACATTCGCAAAGGTTACACGCGATGGAGCAATACATAGCAATGTTATGCAATATTCACAAAATGTGCACTACAGCACCTAAGCCATGGCCGAAATAGAACACGGAATAGAACTGCGTGCCAAAGAAAATGCAACACTATATATAGTTGCATTTCGGGCTACTACATGTAACATATATATATATATATATGATTTCCCGCACTTGACCTTTTTTTGCACTACTGTACTTCTTCATCTCTCACACATGCTACACCGGTTAAGTTTTCCATACCGGTTAACTCTTTTAGCATTTTTAGCATACCGCTGAAATCAAGCCTTGGCCAGCTGCTACCGCGTGAGCCTGTGGAGAAAACGGTGCAGAGTGACTACTGTTTGCAGCACTGCGTTACTGAATGCATCACCCCCAACTACAAGCTTTGTCCAAACAAGTAAGTTCGTCGGCAGTCACGTGCAAGAGGGGCAGAAAGAGAGAGGGAGAGTGACTTGCATGTACCCAGGTTCACCCTGGATGGTGACAACTTGGTGAACTGCCTTCAGAATTCTCCCAGCTGCGCTGCGATGTTCTTCGAGTATGCCAAAGAGTTCACTTCAGCCGTGAAGAGGAACCTTGGTATATATACTCGTAGGGGTTGGGTGCAATTGATATAAATTCAACCTGCGTTTGCGTTTGCTGCCACTCTTGATGGCAGTTGTTTGTAGTGGTTCATGCAGGAGTTTGCTGCGCAGTTGTGGTTGTGGTTGTTGTAGATTGTAGATGAATGTATATGAATGTCGTCGTCGTCGTCGTCGTCGTCGTCGTCGTCGTCGTCGTCGTCGT